TAAAAAAAAAATAACTGCTTTTTAAGCGCTTATTTCAGTTTTTTAAGCTTTTTAATCCGGGCTCTGTTTTTACTACTGTCTAGTCAATTATTTTAGTATTAACTATTGTGTGAAAAAAGTTACCCTTCCTCCCCCCACCCCCCACATTTAGATTCTGGTTAGGGGGCCTCAAGATGTAAATTTGCCCCAGGCCCCCTATACCCTCTCGGCGGCCCTGCACCATGATTCCATTATGGTATCATGGTCAGGGCCGGCGACAATAGCGGTGCTCGCGGGCTCAAGCACCACACGTGAAGGAAAATAGTGGTGCTCAGCACCACACGTATCATCTGCAGAAAAATTGCATTTCTTTTGCGGTCTATACATTTTTTATCCTGCTAGCCTGGGATACACACCAACGCCCACTACAAATTTACGGTTGAAGCTGAGGAATCCAAAGTTTAAAGTACCAAAGTGGGTCGGTATAGTATGTATAAGTGTATGTATCTTCGTATAGTAGGAATAACATACCGACACGTCGCGACGTGTATTTAGGGTATTTCTACTATACTGACGGTAACCGACCAAACTTTGAGTTATAGGTATTATTATTATTTACAGTTTTTAACAACAAAGGTAAGTTAGTTCGAATCCTAGAGTAACTCTGTTTTAATTGTCTCTCGTAACAAAATCTAGAACGATTATTTTAAACCCGTATTTTTTATGCTGGTAACCCTTAATCCAAGAAATGGCAGGTGGTAACCCTAAAAACGTCCGATGTGGCAGTAATATACCTATCCCATTCGATTCCATTACAGGGTGAATTTTTTAACTTGAAACTTTAAAATATCTCGCGTAATAAGCATTGTCGAAAAAACTATATATATAGTTATATATATAAACTAAATTTAATCATTCATTAGTTCTAAAATTAGTAGAGTGCTCTCCCTGTATATAAAATATGACTGAGTTTGATGAATATTGACTAAAAAACTATTCCAATTTTATTTTGTTCTCCTTTCCGCAACCCCCAAGGAAAAGAACACCACACCCTCCATCAGTGGCGGCTGGTGGATTTTGGGTATACCGATATCTCAATTATTAGATATGGGACCCACACCAAATAAATATAGGTAAAATAAATTTAATTGGTGCAATTTATTATTTACCATAGTTTATCGACAAATTTCAAATTTTATTTAAAAAATCCAAATAATAGAGATATTATATCATTTTAAATTTTTATTATTTCTTTGAAAAGAAATATTAAAAATTTAAAATGGTATAAAATCGGTATAATTTGGATTTTTTAAATGAAATTTGAAATTTGTCGATAAATTATGGTAAATAATAAATTGCACCAATTCAATTTATATTATATTTATTGGGGGCGCTATGGGGCCGGTACGGCCGAGCAAAAATTTATCTTTTTTTCGCAAACTACAAATTAAATTCTGCTTGCGCAGAACTTGTTTATTTAATGTATAAACTCATATAAATTTGGTGTGGGTCCCATATCTAATAATTGAGATATCGTTATACCCAAAATCCACCAGCCGCCACTGTCCGCCATCCATTAACCACTGCTACCAACATCTGTAGATGAGCACCACACGTCAAAATGAAAAGCTGCCGGCCCTGATCATGGTAGATACACACACACAAGATTTTTTTGAATCAGACTTTTTAAATTTAATTTTTATCGTAAAAATATGTTTTATTCATAAAAAGCACTTTTGTGAGAAGGTATCGACAATATTATTTTTCAAAGTAGATAATTTTAGTTTTATTGCAAAAAGTCGTTTTTTAATTAATTTTATAACATATATATATATATTTGCAAGATTTGTTTACCCAATTTTAGTTTTATCGGAAAAATGTGTTTCTTTGTCAAACCTTTTTAAAACAATTTTACTTATAAGATCAGTTTAGTTTTAGTTTAGAAATGTATTTTTGTTATTTTTGGTCCTAAAATTGAAATTTAAAATATTATTTGTCTTTTTACACTTGAAAACCAGACGTTTTTTACATTCCTCCGGTAATTTTCCAAAAGCGCATAGATAGAATCTCGGGGCAGTTATTGCACCAACCAGGTATAGAAACAGGTGCCGTAGAGGCAATTTATTCATATGTAAAATATAGATAACCCATTGTAAAGGCTAATTTAATAGTTTTTATAAAAGTCGCAACTGCTACTATGTATCTTAAAGAAATGTTTTTTTTTATATAATATATAAGTTATTGTAGAAGAACATATTATGTTCTTCTACAATAACTTGTCGGTAGTTTTTGGCACCCTTATTTACTATTTTGAAGATCTAATCCTTTTTGCAATATATGTACAAAGCTGGATTATTGAGAATATGGTCCTTGGCTAACATTTCCTTTAGTACTTTTGCTCTTTCAGCGCCCAATTTTTATTTGATTATAATTTCGACATCTGAGATGATTTGATTGAATATCATGAAAGCAGACGCAATTGCTGTCAGATACCTTATATTGGATTCAAAGTATTATTATTTTCATTAGGAACCTTAAAAATTCGGATAAAATACGAGCCCAGAATAATATCATTTGGCCAAGACAATATTTCATTTTTTAGATTATTTCAGACAATATTGGTAAACACAAAAGAAAAATCTATTGAATCCAACTATTATTATAATAATAGTTGGATTTAATAGATTTTTCCAATATTGTTTGAAATAATGTAAAAAAAAAAATATTGCATGGGCCAAATGATATGATTCTGGGCTCGTAGAACTTCCCGCAGCCACACTATAAAGTGTCAACACATGAAAATCTCACTAGCCTACTAAATCGGTCAAACAAAATAGAACGTTTATAAAAAAATAAATCAGACAATAAATAGACTTGGATTTATCGGAGCTACCACATCCCCACTTACAAACCAAAGAATGCAAAATACACAGGGTGACCACATTATTGCTTAATTATTACCATTGAATACCATTGAAAATAAACTTTTAGATTCCTTCAAAGTCATGCCACATTTTACGAAATTTACACAATTTTATTAAAATTTAAACCAAATGCACGGTTCCCTTGATAAATTTAAAATAAAGAAAACAAGTTTATTACATGCTTTTGCAGGTCACATTTAGTCACTATTAGAAATCTGTTTGACAAAAAATAAATTCCTTATAGGACTACGTACTTAAATGTAGTTTTTTTGGGCTAACCAGTTTTTCCACAGTTATTGGTCACAGTGCTCTGCTTTGTAAATTAAATAAATCTGTGTTTATTAATTTCATTTACTTTTTTGCGATATGGCTCGGAAAAGAAACTATGCTAAGGTTTGTCATTTATTCAATGAGGTTCACCCTGACCACCCACTCCTTAACAAGTCTACGGTAAGCAGACTTTGCCAAAACTGCAATGAAACAGGCAGCGTTAAAGATCGTCTTTGGAAGAAAAATCGCTGGATGTATTGCTTGCTGTTTAGGAGATTTCCAAAACTTCTACATGGAAACTTGATAAAACAAACGAGATATTCAGACGTTTTGTACAGCGGATTTTGCAGCGGCAAAAGTATTTTCCATATAAGGTTGAAACTGAGAGAATAATCGATTTTTGTAAAAAAATAATTTAGATAATTCAACAATATGGAGATTTTTGAAACTACGTTGTTTTTTATGATGAAGCTACCTTTTGTCTAAATGGTAGTATAAACAGATACAATTGTCTCATGGGATGGAAGAAATTCCCAATATCCTCAAAAGCTGAAGGTATGGGCTGAAATTGTTAGTCATCTTGTAATTTGACCCTACATATTTCAAATACATGAACAAGCTTTTTATTGAAGGCGCTTTGACAGGCCCAGGCTATCAAATTCAAAGAATTGTTTCAAACTGATTTCTCAAATGTTTACTTCCAACAAGAGGGCGACCCCCATTTCAGTCGAGAAATATGTTAATAAGTGACATTTCCTGACCGATGTATGAGCAAAAGAGGACCCATGGCCATGGCCGGATAGGTCTCCTGATTTGTCCCCACTTGATTTTTTTATATGGGGTCATTTAAAAAGCGTTGTTTACAATAATCAATTTAAACATATTCGTAAAATGTTACCATTTTTCCAAATAAACATCATAAAAACCATTTTCGGTGAACGCATTATTTGCCCCACTGCGCTATCCATTTCTTCGGTCCAGAGGTTGATAGATAGTTTTCGGTCGGAAATGTAATTGAGTCGTATAGATTCAAAACCCGCCAAATCCATTTATTGAAAGTAAAGGACAGAAGACATGTTTCCATAACAACATAATTAATATGTATTGCAAACATATCTACTGTCCTTTACTTTCAATAAATGGATTTGGCGGGTTTTGAATCTATACGACTCAATTACTGATAGTTATCGATAGTTTTTAAAAGTTTTAATTTTTATTACCAAAATAATGAGAAGTTATTTAATAATTTGGACAAATTGTTTGCCCCACTGTGCGAAACCATTTCTTTAGTCTAGAGGTCGAGAACTATCAATAGATAGTTTGAATGAAACTACTTACTATCGTTAGTTTTTAAAGTTTATTACCGAAATAATTCGAAAATTCTCTAATAATTCTAGTTTGCGCAACCCTGTATAAACATATTTTTACAAATTAAGTATCTAATATGGCATAGTTTTAAGTTACCTGTATAATATTTAAATGAATTATCGTTATGTAAAATGGGTTGCATATACAATTTCCCTTTATACCTACATCTGGCGAAATTTTTTCAAATTAATTTAATCCTTTATATTTTTACATTTTAGATGTAAAATGTAAAATTTAGTTTATAGTATAAAGATTTATCAATTTTTTTAATTTTAGTTGATTGCGTACAATATTTATTGCCGTTTTGTCATAAAAATTTAATTTTGTCAATAGTAATATTATCTTTTACAATCCAAATATTTAACTAAGAATAAAATAAAACATACTATAAAGTAATATAACTTTATTATATTATTAAATAAAGTAAAATATTATGAACTAAATAACAAAATTGTTTACCTGCAAATCCTTGTACCCCACCCAAACAGGGCTCCATATTAGTCTCATCAAAATCCTTATTTTCAATCGAAATCAGCATCCACAAGCAAGCAAAAATAAACCAGGTCAATATAAATATTACAGAGAGAAAAAGCATCGTCCATTTCCACTGGCTATTTATAATGGTGTTCACCAGATCCAGGCAATATCTGTACAAACGGAAACTGTCGTTTTTTTGGAATATCGAGGATTTGCCGCTTTTTCTCACCACGCGACGCACTAGTCGGCATTTTTTTCGCAACAAGCTAAACATTATAAAAACAGTAAAATATTATAATTAGAGTTTTAAACTAAAAACAACAAAAGTCATTTTCTACAAATTTAATATACAAATAAATATGCATGTTTAAAAAAATGGAATTAAAACGAAAGAAAGATATTAGTGTTTGAAATATATATTTTCCACAACCAAGCGTAAAAGTTGCACTTTTTCGAGGAGCGAGCGTTTTTTCACTTTATCGCTCGCCGAGCGACAAAGTTACTTTGTCGCTCGCTTAGTTACCTTGGAAACCATAATAAAGAAACGTTAATGTAATAATAATAATAATTATTAATTTTTACCAAACATTCTTATAGAAACACCGGTTGTAGAAAAATAGCCGCAGATGGTGCTCAGATGGTGCTCAGAGCGAAAATGTATCAATTTGCGCTCTTAATACACAAATTTAAGGTGAAACAATAGAAACAGAATTATCTTAAGAACCCAAGTTAATACAAATTTTTCATTGCCATATTCGTTTTATTCCAGTTATATTTAAATATTAAGTTAGAGGAAACAAACACATACAATTTTTTGTAGGGCTTTGTTATAAGAACTATCTACAAAAATTATAACGTATTTTGAAATTATTTATTTATGTTAGTTTAGTATTTTACTATTTAATTTCACTTGCCTGGATCGTCTTCTGCCCTTTTTCCTGCTCAAATAATACGGAAAAGTGTTCTGACTTCCAAACTCCGAATTTTCTATGCTGATTTCCTCGAAACTTTTATGCGACATGTTTGCAGTAAGGCGCTCATTTGCATTCAATTTTTACACATACGCGAAAGTGTAGTGCATTCTCCCCAACATCTTCTTGAATCAAGAAAAACGACAAAAAATATGATTAAAAAGAATAATTTTAGGAACCGATAGACTAGTCGACACAATTAAATTTGTTGTTTGCCACACGGGAGCCAACAACTTTCCCAGGCTGATTCAAAAAATGACCATCAATTTGTTTTCAAGATATTGTGAAAAAATGGTTTTTTTTTGTTATTAATAGTGTTGTAAAAAAAACGTTTTTTTTCAGTTGAAAAAAAAAACGTGAAAAAAACATGTTTTTTCACTGAAAAAAAAACAAAAGTTGTTTTTTTTCATCCCCACCCACGTATGGTAAAAGGGCTCCTCGCTGTCGGCAATTCTGACTCAGTATCGTATAGTATAGTTAAGACCTGCGGCTTTATAGGTTGATGCATAGTTGGTAGAAATGCCGAAAAGAGAAGGCTCAGGGCGAAAGCCAACAACGTTAAACAATTTGTTTAAGAATATTACTAATGGTAAGTAAGAAACTATAATTAATATTTAATATTCTTCTAGTGACAGAATGTGCCAAAAATTCTTTCCTTAGCAGTGACATTTCGAAAATCCTGTCACTTAATATATTTTGATGCAAAAACAAATTTGTTAACTAAAAAATGGATTAAAAATTCATTAGGTACCTACCTATTAGACGCAATTTTTTTACATATGTACACTTCAATCACTTGAACTAAAGTTCAACATGACAAATTCTAATTGTAAATCTATAGATGCTTACAAATCTGATGAGAAAGAAAGCTCAAGCTCGGACGATTCATCATTTAGTTTACATGACACATCGTCCGAGCTTGACTTTGAATCTCAATCAGATTAATTATTATAATGTTTATATATTTTTAAAGAATTTACTTAATTTTTATTTTATTTGTTTTAAAAAAGTTTGTTTACCTTTTTTTGTTAGAATGTTTGTTATGTTTTTATTTCAATATTTATTTTTAAATAATTTGAGTATTTTTGACCATTTTTTTGAAAAAAAACATTTAAAAAAAAAAAACAAGGACCTCTGTTTTTTTTCTAAAAAAACATATTTTTTTGAAAAAAAACAAGACTGTTTTTTTTCAGTGACAACACTAGTTATCAAACATTTAAATTCGTATATACTATTTATTTTTAACTTAACCTAATTTAATTAAAAAAATTATACTCATTCATAAAGTAAATATCCCATGAGATTTTTAAATTCGGTTAATTTCTTTTTGCAAAAAGAAACCAACCGAATTTAAAAATAATACACCAAAATGTAGGGCAGCCATTCCACGCTACTCGGGAATTTTTGTAGCGTCCGTTACAATAAAAAATTGTGAGTAAAAGCTACCGTAATTAAATTAAATACTGTTACAATAGTTAATATTGCATACATGTTTATTATGCTTGTAATAATTGGGCTTAAACTTATAAGCATAATAATTAAGGTAGTTTTACTCACAATTTTTGATTGTAACGGACGCTACAAAAATTCCCAAATAGCGTGGAATGGCTGAGGGGGCCCCTTTTAACTTTGTAAATTGTAGGGGAAACCATCAGTCGTCCATCACCCACGCTTAGGGGTTGATGTTGGGTTAAAAATATAAAAATAAATGGTCGCCCTTAAACTGAAAATAGATGTGTAAGAGCATTTTTTTTACACTTAAGAAAACCGGGGTTTAAACTTTGCATTGGCCCACCCTGCTTATATGAATGTAAGTTAAACTCATTTTAATTAGGTATGTATTTTTAAATAGGTACCTACATAATTTTCAATACTCTCTCTAAGTTAATCTACCACTAACTCAAACAGTTCAACATGTCATGACAAATCAACTTGGAGGAAATCGATTGTAATACCAAAAATAAACTTCATTAAGCATAAGAAAACAGATTTAAAACCAGGCGCGTATACAGGGGGGCAATGAGTTCAATTAGACTTACGACAAAAGAGCTTTATTTTGACCGATTTTAAAATTTGTTTTTTTCGTTCTCTATATGGGTGATTCCACAAAAGTTGGACAACTTGATGTCATCAGTCGATAGAGTAGGTATTTTAATATTTTTTGTAAATATTTTAGTAAATTACAAAAGATCTAGGTTTTTGTCCACCCAATTTCAATGTTTTTTTTCAAAAGCACGTTTGTGGAAAAACATAATAAATATTCAAAACATCAGTACCTTGGCGTGTCACAACTGAAAGTAAAATTTGAGTGATTTTATTTTAAAATATATTCAATTTATCTTTAATTTTTCAATTTCACTACAAACTATAAAACATTAAATAATGTATTTTTCATATTTCATCATAGATTCGAATAATAGCAATTTTTTAAAAATTGATAATCTTTGTACTCACTTTTACCCGTCAGTTCTGTGTCCAATGTTAAAATTCAAAATTCCTGCGAAATATTGAAGTTTAAACGTCAAGTCCTTGTTTTAACTCAAGTGTTGGTAAAAAATTACCTACATGTAGAGCAGAGCAGAGCAGAGCGCGCCCTTTGCACGACGGTCATCTTGAAAACAATGCAAGCGGCGAAGTTGTGGTGAATGCACGTATAGTTCCAGTCAAAATTTCAGTACTGTGGTAAGTAGTTATTTTCTTACGTATATATATTTCATTGTAATTTATACACGGAAAAAAATCCCTTACTATAGGTTTAAGAATAGTTCTATACTTCATGTTAGGAACTTGATTTAAGTATATTTATTATTTCTATGAGATAAGCGTACATTTAAACTAAGTAATGGGATATACTTAATTTTTAAGAAAAACTGTTACTTGATTTGAGATGAGTATTCTTGGATTGAGTTTAAAGGTATTTTATTTTAAAGAAAATTGGTATACTTAAATCAAATATACAATAATGCTTAGATGAAAGAGCTCTAGTTTTTTACTCAAAGCGGAATATTGCCACTTATTTTAAGTATTCTGTATATTTGTATGAAATTTCGGTATACTTTATTTAAATATATGTGTATTTAATACAAGAACGCTTATACTTCAATTTAAGTATAAGACATCTAAAACAAAGAATACACTATACTGTATTTAAGTATAGCTAATATTAAAACAAATACCTAATTCTTCGCTTAAGTAAATACCGTCCACCCTCTAAGACCGCTTCGCTAAAAGAAAAGACGCAGTTTCTGTGTTCAGTTCTGTCATGTGTTTTATGGTGGTAGCGTGTGTTCGTTTTTTCCTTTTTCGGTCTGGATGTTATTTTTAATAAAAAATAATGAAGAAGAAACTTAAAAATTGGGGCTTAGAATGTTTACTAGACACATTTTTCGGTAAGTAAATAATATTTCATTAATTTAAAGTAATTAACTAGGCATGATCGTAAAAATGTAGTGTAAAATGGATTGGTATACTGTAGTGTAAAATGGATAGCATACGACAGGTAATAGACAATAGCACATAAACAGCAGAAAGGCTATAGCCTCCAATTCAGCTATATTATTTTTGTTTTAGAAAACGAGATAGATCTCGATATTACGGTAAACCTAAGCGAAGAGAATTTAAAGGAATTAATTCCAAAAATAGGATTGAGGATCAACGATGATAATGGTAGCCTTCTTAGAGACTCATTTTACAAATTATTTAGCTGGAGATAAATTTTACTGGCAATAAAAAAACCTAAAAATACCTAAATGTGATACCTAGGTACATAAAAAATAAAATGTAAAATATAGTATCTATGTTAATTAACTGTGAAAGAATGAATTTATATAAATTGACAGTACTTTTTCTAATACCTCTAAGACTGTTAGGTAATAAACCTATTGTGATATCAGTGCCTATTATACTTAGTACTTTAGTACATTAAAATAATTAAAATAATCTGCCAAAAATACTGTTAAATTACTGTCACAACGATTATATTTTCACTTTCACTTGCATTTTCCGTAGTGGTAGGATAATTAATACAAATATTTTTCAGGGTCACGAATGTTTTTTTTGTAAAAATTATTCCGAGTCGCTAGACGAGGGAATTTTTTTTCCAATCAACCACTTTCTTTAAGAATAGTGTAAAGTTATTTTAAATATATACTATACTTTTATCAAATATAAAAAAAGGAAAAGTAAGAATACAAGCATTTTATGCAAGTAAAGCGTGTACTTACAATAAGTATAAATAAATAAATTTTAAAGAAAGTATATTCTTAAAACAAGAATACTGTAAAGATATTACAAAGAAACTATACTTTGATGAAGTACATACTAACGTTACAACAAGAATACCGTAGTCTTCATTGAAGACAAATTTGTATACTTAACTCAAAATTAGTGTGTTTCTTATTTTTAGTATAGCAGTAATCTTAGATTAAACCGAAGCTATCTTTATTTTATAAGAATATGAGGATACTTGAAACAAGTATAAATTTACTTGCGGAATAGGGAAACTAAGCTATACTTGGATAGAGTTGAATTTTCTTGGAATCAGTATAGATTTTTTTCCGTGTATAAGGCTATATCATATAGCCTATATGTGATTTGTTGATAAGTAGCATCCACTAATAAAAAATATCAGTAAAATACTTAATTACGAATTATAATCTCAAATTTGTATCCCATTCATCAGTACCATGTCGTCAGTTCCATGTTCGATGTTTCGGTAATCTTTTTTTCGAAAACTTCAATTTAAATTCTGCTTGCGCAAAACTTGGTTATTTAATGTGGTGTGGGTCCCATATCTAATATTTGAGATATCGGTATACCCAAAATCCACCAGCCGCCACTGATGTGTGGTATTTTTTATTTGATTTTAAGATATTTATTAAATATTATTTAATGTATAATAATGCTTAAAGTTGCAATAAATCTTATATTTTCCAATAAATTATGTATTTAATTAGTACCCTGGTATACTCGTCAATTCCCTTGCATTCAAATTTAGAAAACACAGATATTTCAGAAACTGTTTGATAAAGTGATTGGCCCGGTATATTTATTATATTATCTATAGATATATGTTTTCATAGGGTCAGTCCATGTCAACTCAACACACCCATTTTACCACACCACCTCAGATTTTCTTAAAATTTGATATACTTATACTATGTACTAAGACTAAGAAAAATACCAATTTTTAAATTTTTATCTCACACCGTTTCCGATATATGGCTATGTAAAGTTTTTAAAAACTCGCGAAAAAAGTGTGAACGTGTATTTTTTAAATTGCTCTGAAAGCTGTCCTAATTCAGCTAGAACGCTGGGAGAGGTGTCATTTTGCAGCATTTTAAATGCTCTTTCAAATGACATACGAACGCCAAGGGTATTAATGAAAGGATTTTGTTCAAAATCCATATATATATTTTGATTCAATTTTTTTTCAAAAAGTACATAATTTAAAATTCTCAAAATATTTGTATAAATACTTAGTACTGTTTTAAACCATATAGTAAAATATAAATGTGGGGTCTTAATGGGTTCATGTTAAAAAAAAATTTTGTGATGCTGGTTTTTCACTTAACTAATTTTGACAGTTTCGTTACATCTTTCCTGCAGGTATGACAAATCATGGAGCCAATAGGCATTTGTGGAAATAATCCAGTCATCCATGCTGGGACTTTTCTCAGTTTTTTTCTGTCTCTAATAAAATGATTTGTTTTTTTCATTGGATTATAACACTGCACTATTACAATAGTAGGCTCCATGTTGACACCAAAATCACTTTAAACACACCTCATTTATAGTTTTATTTTTAAATAATCTACGAATATATACAGGGTCCGATAAAAGTTCCCTGAATTATTTTTTAAGCGAGTTTAAAATTTATCAATAAGGTTTTCGCGGAAATTGTTTGCTCGAGCAGGTTCCTAGAACCCTTTCAATTCTGAAAATATTTATTTTATGTTGTTCTGTTTAAAATTTAGTTCAATATGAATCGCCAAAAAAAGCGTATCACAGTAATTGAATTAAAAAAGTCGGGAATGTAGGCAGCCGATATTATTAGGGTTCTTAGAACCCTTATATTTTTGAAAATTTTCATTTTATGTTGTTTTGTTTAAAATTTAGTTCAATATGAATCGCCAAAACAAGCGTATCACAGTAATTAAATTTCACAAGTCGGGAATGATGACAGCCGATATTATAAAAAAAATACACAGTAAAAAAAGATGCTTTCAGTCAAATACTGTAGGTTTAAACCAAAGCATTCATTGTTTTAAATAGCCACAAATAAATCATCTATTAGACTCAAGATAAGTTTATATTTGTAATTTAAATATATCATGATCTTAGAAAAAGTAAATGCGCGCTTTAAATTAAATGCATGTTATGACTTAGTTTAAAACTAATATATTCTTAAATGGAAAAGTTGAGCTTCTTTATGTAAATATATAATGCCTTTGTCGTAAGTATTGGATATTTTTTATAGAAAACTACGATATATTTAATTTAAAAATAAATTAAATTTGACGCAAAAATAATGTTTTTTGGTTAAAATTTAACATATGGTTGAATTAAATGTATAATATTTTTGTTGGAAGAAATTCATGCTTTCATATTAAGGCAACGATGTGTTTAATTTAAATAATTTTTATACTTACTTTAAGGTCAAATTTAGATTTAAAGCAAAAATGTAATATTTTTTAATAAATCCTTTTATATAGGCTTTATTTAAATTAAAATGTTTATTTACACACAAAATGTACATACATAATGTAGTTTAAAATAATGTAACAAGTTAATTTAAGTAAGAATGTACCTTATACACTTACATATATAATTATAGTAATATTATATTAGTTAAAATAAGCATTTTAATAAGTTAATCCTTCTTTGCAGAATTATTTTAAAAACATTACATTTTTGCCTACAGTCTAGTAGATTAAGTCTACAGTAGATAGCTTTAAATTCCTTTATCTTGAATATATTACCATGATTTAAATTGTTCAAGAACTCCACTATGTACCTAGGTATGTTTTATTTTTTAAAATAAAGAAATAATACATTAAATAATTAAAAATCCATATTTATTTAATTATAATTATTTTGGTACAAATAATATAAATTTACAAGAGCATCATGAAACTAATCCTAAAATAACAAAAAATAAACATTCGCATATAAAATGAAACAAAAGATAAACCTTCGTATTTAAAATTAAACAAAAATAAACAATACGGTATCTTATAAAATATAAGATACCGTATTTTAAATATAACATATTACGATATTAATAATAATAATTTTAAAAGCAAAACAATAACAATACACATACTACTATTATTATTAATAACATATTACCTACCTTTAAAAACGGGGATTAGATCTTCCAAATTACATTGTTCTAATAGTTCTTCCATATTTTTGCACAAACTTTTATAAACTACACCAGAGGAAACACATAAACGAAATGGCGGCTAAAAAGAATACCGGCACCGGCACCGATACCGAAGCGAAACAGTTTCTGGTAACCCATTGGTTCCATAAGTCACGTGCTACTAAAATCTCGCGATAAAATATTTTAAACATACCATATATTTAAAATAAAATTATATTTTTAAATCAATTATACATATTATTTGTTTGAAGAATTATAATTTTAGTTCAAAACAAAAATATTACTTTGACTTAAAACTCTTGGTATTTTAGTATGAAATAAATCATATAATTAAATCAAAAATAAAATTGTATAAGATTAAATACCTTTATATTCTTAAAATCGAAGAAAAATATTACTTAAATCAAATATTTCAATATTTAGCTAAAGAAGCTTTTATTTGATAACGAAGATTTTTTATTTCTTGGAAAAAGAAAATTGCAAAGCTTAATTGAAAGATATATTTTTAAACTAAATAATTAATTATTTCACTCAAAAATATATTTCCAATTATAGCAATTTTCTTAAATTAAGAATATTAGTTTTTACTGTGTACAATTGTCAGGCTTAATATGACAAGCTTAAGCCTGATAAACGTTGAATAATGTCAAAATTAGTTAAAAGTGAAAAACCAGCATCAGAAATATTTATAGACCCCACATTAATATTTTATTATATGATTCAGAACACTACCAAGTATTTATACAAATACCTATTTTGAGAATTTTAAATTATGTACTTTAAAAAAAAAAATTAAATCAAAATATATATGTATATGGATTTTGAACAAAATCTTTTCATTAATACCCTTGGCAGTCGTATGTCATTTGAAAGAGCATTTAAAATGCTGCAAAATGACACCTCTCCCAGCTTTCTAACTAAATTAGGACAGCTTCCAGCGCAATTTAAAAAATAAACGTTCACACTTTTTTCGCGAGTTTTTAAAAACTTTACATAGCCATATATCGGAAACGGTGTGAGATAAAAATTTAAAAATTGGTATTTTTCTTAGTCTTAGTACATAGTATAAGTATACCAAATTTTAGGAAAATCTGAAATGGTGAGGAAAAATTTCTTTTTAAAGTGTGTTGATTTAGCATGAAATGGCTCCATAACAAAATACTATTTAATTTTCTTCGAAAACTATGTAAACAAAATGAGGTCAAAAGTTGCCAAATTTTTACCAAGAAAGCGATTTTATTTAGTTAAAAATAGGGTTTTTTGGGCACTAACTTTATAAATATGTTAATTTATTTTTTTTCAGTTTAAGTAGGTATTTGATTAAAAAAATATATATACGAATTTAAATGTTTACATATCGAAAAAAAAACCGTTTTTTTTTACAATATCCCGGAAACAAAAGCTATTCGAACAAAAAGGTTATTTTTGAAATCAGCGCACCCAAAATACCCTAAGAAACTAAAAGTGTTGACCACCTTGTGGCAAAATGGCTGCTGACCAGTGTAATTTATTTCCTCTTACATACCAAATTTATATAATTTACCTCTACATTTTAGAAAATAATAAAGAAAAACCTGAAAGAGAAATCGATATTCGATCATAATTTATTTAACAAACTACCTACCTTTATATTTCAATAAACTTTGGTGACAAAATCCATCACCTTCAAATTCCCATCTAGTGTGTCACAAAGTTCTTCTTAAAGATGCACAAAATAGTTTAATTAAAGTTACTCGAGTTGACACACTAACTAAGCATTGTAGATGCTTATCGGTTAGAAAAAATTATTAAATCACTGGCAAATATTTGAAGGGAAGATAACGCTAGGTATCATAAATTCTAGGATTTGAAGTTTATTGGGCCAATTACAGGCTTTTTTAACGAAATGATAAATAACTTTTTTTGTTATATTCTGAAAAAAAACATTAATTTCGTTAGTCGATGTAAGTACAAATTTTTTTTATTATTTAATGATTTAAAAAAATAATAGTTTTTTATGTCATTAGTAAAAGAGGTATTTTTGTTTGCTGAACTCAAAGTTTACAATTGAGCATATCACAAAAAGATCTACTGGGCCGAATGTAATGCTTTTAAAAATTTAAAGCCAATTTTATTTGTTAAGCCTTATAAGGCCCGGATTTTAGGTAAAACACCTTTTGTTGTTTTTTTTTTGTATTTGTCCGTTTTATAAAAACTAAGTTTTATTTGACCTAAAATACCTTTTTTATTTTTTTTTCACGTACATTTTATTTTTTTGCACATTTTCACAACCAAACATTTTTGTTCAGTTAATGTTAATTATAATTATTATTTTAATAACTATTTAATTTTTAAATTAAATCCTTTATTGCCGAACATTTATAGAGCTCTAGAGCGATTATAATGTAACTAAAACTACTAATACCTACAGTATGTCCCCGGAAAGGGTTGCCAAGAGGAGAAACTTCTTTATTTTTCTTATTCTTCATAATAGTTTTTGCTTGTTTCAAAATGGCTGAATCAGTTTCCACCGTTTCAAATTTCCTTTCCGTTAAAGAGAAACATGAAAAAATATGTCCGTTTAGTTGAATATTTGTTTTTAAACAAAACTTAAAAGTCCCAAAAATTACTTTTCGTTTTCATGGCAACAGTTAACACGACTATTGTAAATTAAGTTTTCATTGCAACAATTCAACAAAAATCAAGTTGTTTCATTGTCAGTCTAAAAAGAAAATTTGTCAAAATTAATAACAATGTTGTCGAAAGAGCAACGAATTTATTTAATACAGTGCTATGGTAAAGGTGATAAAGCAACCCGACGAGTTATAGAAGAATTCAATCAAAAGTTTCCCGATATTTACATCTCAAAATGTGGTGCACAAAAATTAATAAAGAAATTCTTAATTACTGGCTCCGTTTTGGATGTAAAGAAAATTAAGGTAGATCGCAATGAAGATGACGCTTCCACTCTTATCGTAACGGATTCGATACAAAATAATCCGAAACTTTCTTTACGACGAAGATCGCTTCAATTAAGTAAAACACATATTCAAAGAATATTGAAACAATGTAAAATTCATCCTTACAAACCAATTTTTAATCACGCTTTAGAGCACGGAGATCTCGCAAAACGTTTGGATTTCTACTTGTGGATGGGTACTCAAATCATGGATAATCAATACTTTTATCGAGATATTATATTTTCTGATGAAGCCACGTTTTAAACCAATGGTACTGTTTCATCTCAGCATTTAAGGTACTGGAGCAATCACAATCCCTATTTCCGAATCGCTCGTAATCGACAATATTCGGCTAAAGTTAATGTATGGTGTGCAATTTCTTATCATGGTATAATTGGACCATATTTTTTTGAAAATACGGTTAATCAGCATACGTACTTAGATATGTTACAAAATTTTCTAAATGAAAGGTTGGACGATCTACCGATTAATTATCGTGCAAGGTGTTACTTTTAACAAGATGGTTGTCCTGCAGGACATGTCCATTATGCTCGAATAGTTGTAGAATGGTTGAATCAGCAATTTGGAGAGAATTGGATCGGCCGAAATGGTCCTGTTTTATGGCCACCGAGGAGCCCTGATTTGACTATTGCAGATTTTTACCTTTGGAGCCGTTTGAAACAAATAGTTTATGCGAATGATCTTCCTCCGAATGTAGAACGTTTGAAGGAGAAAATCAGAGATGCTGTGGCGTCTTTACCGCTGGAAGAGATCAGAAACATTTATAGGAAACTGCGTCGCAGACTTGAGCTATGCGTTCATGAAGGTGGTGAATGGATCGAATGAAATTTATTAGTAGTTCAATTATTTTATTGAATTGTAATAAAAACTTAATAAATGTTCGTTTTAGACTGACAATGAAACGACTTGATTTTTGTTGAATTGTTGCAATAAAAACTTAATAAAGAATAGTCGTGTTAACTGTTGCCATGAAAACGAAAAGTAATTTTTGGGACTTAAACAAATATTCAACTAAAAGGACATATTTTTTCATGTTTCTCTTTAACGGAAAGGAAATTTGAAACGGTGGAAACTGATTCAGCCATTTTGAAACAAGCAAAAACTATTATGAAGAATACATTTTTCTCGTAAAATGAAAAATAAAGAAGTTTCTCCTCTTGGCAACCCTATCTGGGGACATACTGTATGTATGGTTTTACAATAATATCGACATTATAATGAAAAAAAAATTAATTCAATAAATAAGTACCTACGTAAAAGTTAGGCACCTAAAATATTAATCTAATTTCACAACTATGTGACCTAATTTTGTTATTTGTTTTTACTTTTTCATAAACTAAAATTACGGGTACCTAAAATATAGGTACCTAAAATAATAACCTAATTTTATAACTATCACCTAATTTAGGAACCGTTTGTAACTTTTTTATAACCTAAAAATCCGGGCCTTACTTATAAGGTAACTATAGTTTTAGTAAATAACAAAGTCACTATAGTGACTATAGTCCACCGTCGCGTCGGCGCGCCGTATTATAATATGAAAATTATTATAATAATTTTCAATAAAACCCATAAGTCCATATATGGATTTATATATAGATTTTTTTTGAGTTTTATAATAATATGACTTTTAAATTATTATTATTATGAAGTCTTTCTATAGAAACTCAAAAAAAATCTCAAAGAAATATTATTATTAAATGCATTATGCTAACATAATATAATATCAATAATATATTGGCCCCAGCGCACCCTTTGAAGTTTTTCATTATTGTATTAGTACAATAATAACTTTATTTTCCATAAGCGCAGACAATAGATTTATAAAAATCATTTTTTACTCTATTTGATTCATAATAACGAATTTGTTTATAAAACTTAAGATTATTTTTATCTATTGTGCGTTCATAATGACTTCATTATAACACCGCTTTCGGTGCTAGATACTTTATCCCACCCAAAATTTTGATTTTGATTCCATAGACAAAAGTGATATTAGAACGGTCAAATTCCGTAATAGGAGTAGAAAAAAATATTAAATTCCACCTATAGTACTTTAAAAGTTTCTATGTACCTCCCAATACCAGTACAAATGATTTTGAGCTGTTTGACACAAAAGTGTCTTAATTTTTGGAGATTTTAATGTTAACCCTTTATTAGTCGCACTGTTTTCTGAAACGCCATTAGTCGCTTTGGTGTTTGAGACCGAAAGTTAAAAATTACGTTTATTAAATATCTTGTGTGTATATTTAAATTTTTAAGAAAAATACTATGTTAATATTTTTAAAAGTAATGTTTTAATAAACAAACATAACAAAATATCAATATAAGATAAAAAAATAGTATAATTCATCAGAAGAAACATTTTTTTCTTGCCTTTCCTTTACAAAATCTTCTTCTTCGTGTCTTCATCATCATTAAAATTACTTTCTTTTTCAGAATCTTTCTCTTCCATTAGTTTTTGAAGTCGTTGTTGGTCTGCTATGTAAGAATACATAGTTAAATATTTTTAAAACCTTAATACTCGCATCGGTCTCTCGAACCGAAATAAATTCTGTAAGCCGCTAAATCACACCCATGCGCCAACGCTTTTAGACTTAAGTTCGAACGGCAAATGTAGGAAGGTAACTAGGAGGGGATAGCGCAAAGTCGATGCGCTAAAGAAGTACGTTAAAAAATTTAAAGCGTCGGTCTCACACACCGGGTGCAACTAATCAAGGGTTAATAGAATGATTTAGATCCTAAAAAACTATGTCTTGTTAATTTTAAAAACTTTTTAGACTTAAATCAAGTTAATTTAACCCTAAATGACCATAATGGATTGTTAGATCTAATATTTACAAATATTATCTGCGTGGTTAACCGATATGATTTTCCTTTTGTTAAAGTTGATCATTACCACCCTCCTCTTGAAGTTAAATTTCAAGCTAGTTTCCAACTTAAAAAATTTTACAGTCTCCAACAACAAAAGATATTATTTTCGTAAAGCAAACTATATTGAACTTTATTTATTTATTTTTTAAAATTACTGATTATTACGCTTGAGATATGTTTTACCAGGTTCTTTCCAATATATTTGATAAGCACGTTCCCGTAAGTATAAACAAGCATTTAAATTATCTTATTTGGCACAGAAAAAAGCTTATTAGAATGCTTCATAATAAAAAGAAAGCCCATGATAATTTTACGAAATATAATAGTCCCAAGCAGCATTTTTGGTTCCAAAAACCATTGCCAAAGTGGTGATAACTTTAAATTAGTTAAGTATACTAAACAGCTACTTTAATTTTTACTTAAAAGTAATTCTAACTTTTAAATAGCAATATTTTGTAACAGAAACTTAATTTTTCCTTAAATTGTTACTATAAAGTAATAAACATTTAAGTAAAACTTGGTTGCCCCCAAGAAGACTTTGCAACTTTAAAAAAGGTGTTATAAGTAAAAAAAAACTTTTAAGTAAATTTAATTTGTAGCAGTTACTTTCGGTTGCTACCTAAAGATTACATTATAATTATTTGTACTTTGTAGTCCCTTTGCAAGTTAAAATCTCGAAACTGGAACATGAGTTAAAAACTACAAAGTTAATAACTTAAAAGTTATTATCTTAGTATTTGGAACGTTTATGGTACTAACCAAAACAACCGTAAAGTGGAAAAAAACTTTAAAGTAGCGAAAACTACTTCAAAGGAAAATGCTTCTTATCGGCCATTTTTTACTGTACAGTACCACGTGGTAATGTAAATAATAAATTATTTTAATTGTTTGTAAATGGTTGTTTACTTTTTAATAAATAGCAATTTTGTTGGTAATAGATGGTATTAATA